GTTTTAATTATGCTGCTGAAGGACAACATGAACAGATTACGGGCATTTGTGTTTACATAACCTAATCTAAAAACTAGAAAAGGTTTAAAAAAAAACACTTTTCGATAGAAAATCCATAAAATCCATGACAGTCCTTTCAGTTTATAATACAGATGTTTCGAATTCTCCCTACCCATCATCTTGAGCCAGAACGGAAAAAAGACTATAAATTTAAGACTATAAAAGTATTCAATTTATTCATATTTGCCAGAGTTCATTTGTTTGTATTTTGGCGCTGTAACACCTTCATCTTGTGTTTTTTGTCTCCACGTAGTTAATAAGTTTCTTTTATTCATGCTCATCACTTTTCTATTAGAATTTCTGCCAATTCCCACTTGTGATTTTTTTTCGGTTATCGTAAAGAAGTCTGATTACAAGAATCTCGCTGCTTGCGTCTTACTGAAAGTGTTTTCATGATGAAACTGCAAACTTAGAATAAGAAAACATGGAGAACTTAGCTGAATCAGCAAGTACATGAAAGTTTTTTATTCAATGCATATTGTAGTGACTACTCGATAATGTTCTGAAATACCTTAAGACGCTACTAACAGCTGATAGCATTAATGTCACAGTTGTACGTACACAAATAAGTTTACAGACCAATTCACGTCGGCGAGGAACAGATGTGTTATTTACTGTTCAAGTTTTGTTTGAATGAAGAAAAATGTGCCCTATGTTTGAAATTTCGCCTGATGTCGCATACCCATATGATATATATATGGATACGCTTCTTAGCCGTGTACTGTACATTTCTTATAGAAATTTACTTGTCATCGACTCAGCGGGCGCTAAGTGGATGAATACATTTGCAAATCAATGGTTAAGTTTACTTAAATTGTAAATAGTAAGAACCTATTTTCTTGACGATTCAAGGATAATATTCCAGAGTCCAATGCCAAAGATATTTTTCGATGACTTTGCTCCCTAACAAGTCATTTCGCATGCTAATAGGCATCCCTCAGAACTAAGGTTAGAAATAACGAAACACAATCGGCGAGGCTAAGAAGAGACGATGAAAATAAAATAATCATTAGCTTTCAATCCGCATCAGGAATTAAAAAAGGCTTCCTTTGCGTACTCAGCCCTTAAAAGCTCTGATATCGATTTAATATGAAGATCGAAACTGAACCGAGCATACGAAATTGCAACTGGAATAAACTTTTTCAGAAGGAACGGGTTTTCTGTTTTCTTTGCACTGGCTTAATAGTACACTATTTAATTTACCCAGTCGGGCAATAAGCATGCCATGTTAATAAACTTTGGCACATTATGAAATAAGATGGAAAAAAACTAAATCGAACGAAAAAAAACTTCGCCAAAGTTATGAAAGCTAAACATTGACCATGGGCTTAAAACTCGGAACAGGGTTATTGGATAGCCGCCAACAGCAAGAATATTTTCGAGTCAGGTAAACATTTGCTGAGACACGTACACATAAACAAGGTTACAAGCTATATACTCGTAACAGACAAAAGATTCACAGAGTTCTCTTAATTTTATAAAGCTACGACAACTCGTCAAAATGAGTGAGCTCCTCCAAGTTTTTATCACCGCTGCGTTCCTTTTGCTGACCGTAAATGGAGACAAATCCTCTTCCCCAGCTTGCGCCAAGCCATACGACCAAATGATGGCATGTAATCTTATCTGTAACATGATTCAAGACTCGGACGCCAACAATGCAATGAAAATGTTACAAACCAAACTCGAAGGTCTTATTGCAGCGATGAAGAATCGTTCTCCTCCACCGCCAGGTAGTCCAACCAAACTGAAATATTTTAGGTATCTCGCGTAGCAACTCGCTATATTGATTTGATAGTTTAAACAACGTGTGCGATTGTTTCAAAAGCCACACAAACGGTGCTCGTTTTTGTTTAAAAACCCTGCTTTCTATTCTTCGTAAGTCGGATTAAGCGTTTTAGAATAATAAAAGCTATTTTAAAAATATTAACCTGCGCTGTTCTTTTCATCTCACCAGCCTCTTCTTGCAAGGAACACTACGAAAAATACAAGTAAATGAATAGT